ATTTCCACGGTCACGCTATAACTTAAACGCTATAATTCACAACGAACAAACAATTCACGTAGCTTGACTCAATTGCCGTCTCTATCTCTGTTTGCAATTCAATTACATTCCATTGTTGCCGTCACTTCCTGACGGTGTTATATACATGAATACCGCATATCTAGTAAACACTCGAGCATTCACGAACCTTCGAGAATATGACGTGTTACTAGTGTCACATGACCCCCACTGTCGTGACAGTGTATTAATTGTCTCTCAACAGTTGGTTTTAATCTTCTACGTTTGTAATGCTATTCCTTCATTTTCTTTTTTTTTTTTGCTTGCTTTTTATTTCATGAAATTTAATGTTGACATTATTCTTGCTTTTTATATTATAATTGAACATATATTTGAAGTTTGAATTTTCTTGTTTGATAATGACAATCCTGAATGAAAGCAGTCTTAAAAAGAGTGAATTAAAGCTTAGAACATAAGAACATGCAGTGATAGGGAATATATTACTTAACATTACTCTCTAAAACAAGCAAGAAAACATCAAATTTCAAAATTAAATTTAAATATTGTCCTTCACCATATACCTAGCCAGTAACAGTTTGAAATAATTAAAACTTAAAACACAAAACATAACAAAAGCTAGCTATTCCATAAATGTAAACATATGATAAAAAAAAATAATTGTTGCTCCTAGACTATTAAAGCTTAAATGACTGTTCACATTTCCAAACTTCCCATTCCATCATTCAAACAAACTACTTAGGCAAATTATCAAACTTCTCACTTTTGAACACCAGAATACAATCAATTATCATTCTTCAATATTTCTGAGAAAAGAAGTCCAAATCTCTAATCCTGCACTACTATAGCATGCGGTCTACACAGATACTATCATTATCATCATTATCACCATTTTAATGATTCACCAAAACATAATTTCTTGCTAAATGATTTATATCTATCCACGTTTTTATTCAGCAAATAATATTAATTTAATAAGTTCTGTGTTCTAAAAGAGTACCTTACATTTAGGTTATAATTGCACTAGTTTGGATTGTTGGAACTTGTTTCATTCCGATTATATTTTCCCCCAAAATGTTATGTAATGGTATTTTGTACTTTATCAGTTTAAACGCATTATTTATAATAACTGGCACCAATTGTAAATAAACAAAACTTAAAACAGTGATGATGATAGTATCTGTGTAGACCACATGCTATAGTAGCACCTCCAATCCTCTCTTAAGAGATTACATGACTTGAACCCATTGTCATTGTAGTATCCCATCTCTACATTCTTTCCTATATGATAGCATAATACCAGTGGAGAAAGTGAGGCCTCACCACTAATATCAGTGTCTTTTACAATACTGAAATATTCTTTTTGCTCATATATTTCTAAAATACCTACAAAGTAGAACCCACAATCTATTTAATCTTTTTATTTTTACTGTGATCAACCATACAGCAGAAGGTTTTTTAAAAAAACAAAAAACTATCACACTTAGTTATTTTTATTTAATGTTACACTTCCTTACCCTATAGTTTGACATAAAAGAACATCAATGGATAGCATACATTACAACATGAAATAAATGTTATCTATATGGTGTATGATTCAAATGGTAAGAAATATGGAGAAAAACCTTTTTCTTAAGTTGGACAAAAAAATGAAAAAGTTTACTTGCTCTTAATGTCAAGCACTGGAATTTAAATATTGTTATTATACTTATTACTATTTATTTCTTACAAAAATCAATTTATAATTTCCTCATAAAACAAATATTAAACATACTTTGCCCATAATATGCATCCAACTGTCGAATTGTGTCAGCATAATTTGCCATCTTGTATTGTTCTATTTCCATCTCAGTGAGGCTGCTCTGTCGACCTCGATACTGTATTAGTGCTGGAGATAGATTAGGAGATTTTGGTTTCATGGTTGTTTCAGTAGCACTCTTTGCGATTGAAGATCTATGCATTTTGCAAGGTTGCTCTGAAATCAAGGTATGAGAAATCAAATGAGCCAATCTTATTCACTTGATATAACAAAAAACATTCTAACATAATACATGTATAACAATAGACTATTTGGTACTTCAAGGCTGTCCCTGCAACCACAATTGAGAAACAATAACTTGAAACCATAACTTAAAACCCACCATTTATTTTTTAAGAAATCATTGATTCTCCTCTTGTAAGATAATAGCCTCAACTGCTGCTGAAGGTAACTTATTCTATAAGCTGATAACCCTTTTAAAAACATAACTAGGGCCTAACCTGTCTCTTCTAGATCTTAAACATCTTCTAATTCTTCAGAATGAAGAACAAAAGATTCATATGCCTTTATCATAATGATCCTTCTGATAATCTTTTAGGCTTCAAAAACATCAATTCTTACTCTTCTGAGAAAAAATATTTTACCCTATCCTTATATGATAACCCATTCACAGAATCATCTTAGTAGTAGCCCTACTATAACCCCTTTCCAATAAGTCAATTAAAGAGACCAAAACTTTTAAAAATAGAAGTAACACAGCAACTCTCTAATCTGCAGACATCTGCTCACCATCTATCAACATACTAAAAATGAATTATTATATCTCTCCACACATACTTTAACAAAATGAGCTGACTGACTTCTATGTAAAAAACATCAAACATTTCAAATGGATATTTCACTTTACTGTAAAGCTGATTGTGTTAATCTTATTTCTCAATTCTAGGAAGATCAGCAATGCTTTACGATTTCAGAGATGGTCAATATTTTATAAGCACTCAGAGAAATATTTTTTGTGCCACATCACTCATAAGAATGAATATGATTTATCTATTTATAAAAGGTAGTCAATATTATTATCTAACAAAATTTACAAGTGTAAATTAAATCAAGCAAACAAGATATTTATAAAATTAAAATAACACATTTCACTTCTTCAATTTCACTACATGGTAACATTAGTAATAGTAAGAGAAATTATATTTAGGATTATTATAAAATTAACATAAAATATACAAACAAATCTGAACATGAAATATAGCATAATATAAAACTTAAAAAAAAGAAGAAAAGAGATCACCTGCTGGTTCATCTAGGCCATCCCATCTACTAAACCAAACTTTATAAGAGAAAAATTAAATAAAATCTGGCCCTTATCAATATGAATCAAGTATTTATTTAGCTTTCCCTTATCTCCCTTAAATTTGCCACAACCACATCTGAAGGAAAGCTATTCAAAGGCCAACAATACTGTTAGAAAAATAACTTTTAAATGAAGGTGACTCTTTCCCTGCTAAACTACTAAAATTTATATTTGCGTATCCTAGTACAAACATTCACACCATTAAGTGTAAAAAAAACAAATGCATGGATACTATCAATTTCATTACAACTTAGGATTTGCATTGCTTTCATTTTACTTTTAACTTAAGGTAGGTTCAGTCAATATAAAATAAATTATGAAAAGACTAATTGTCCCATCAGATCATCCAACACCCACCCCCTCAAGGAAACAACAACAAACAAAAATTATTAGCTTTAATTAAAGTGCAACTCTTTTTGTCTGTAGGTATAATTTAATTCAGTGATGTAGGAAGTAAATGCAAAGTGGGGGTGCTTTGCTGGGCATGCAGATTTTATAATGAGAGAATGAAACTATAAGCTCAATCTAGGGGGTCTGGGGCATACTCCTCAGGAAAATAATATAATTTATAATTGCTATACAATTCAAATATGTAAAACTAAAAGTAGAGATAGCACCACAGTTCCGATTTTCATGTTATACTACTTATTTTGGTTATTATTATCCATGTGCTAATTGTTTTCCGATTACCGGATTAAAATAAATAAATAAATAATGCTGCCAGCATGGCTAATACATAAAACCCACCTGTGTCTACGATTAATATTAGTATGAACGTATGTCCTGTTATAGTGTTTCACTTCCACAAATATCACTAAACTGCTACGACCTTTTACCCCTTGTTTTGACTTTGATCAAACGTCAATACTAAATTAACTCCAAATTGGCAAAAATGAGACTCGTTACAAAACGTCAAAAGTGCATGTTAATCGTATCAGAGTTTTAAAGTTATCTACTATTTCAAAACACAACATTTAAAATACAATTAAAATGACAGTGATTACAATTATATTTATATTATAATAATATAGATCGATGAAGTAAATATTAACTTATCATTAACGAAAAACCAACTTGACCTACAACAAAGGTTGCCTTCGTGGTGGATTTAAAAATTTGGCAGCGATACCACTGAGCTCTCTCTCTTTCTATATATATATATAGATAGATAATAGAGAGAGGGTGAACGGTGGAGAGAAACAGTTACTTCGAAAGTTTAGTGGCGACGTCTCAGTAATTCTTATTGTTGCTGGTTAACTTCGACTTCAAAAGCTGCATAGAATCCCTTATTAAAATATGTGTATGAACAACTTCACTTTTTGACCATTATAAGCTAAAAAGTGAACTGGATTATAAATACACATAAAATAATAAGAAAACATCACCTACAAACACGCTAGAACATTTCAATGAAACGTGGAGGAAGGTCGTCTCTGTGGAAAGAATATTCATTTGAAAACATACATGATTGTGTTTTTTGTCATAAATTTTAGTATAGATACTTAACAAGTAATTTTGTGAAATAACCACAAAATTTGTTTTCTTAGTTTTTGCGATATAGAAGCAACGTGGGGTAGAGCCTCCCAATGTTGAAGAAGAAGGGCTCGAATATTTTTCAGCCGCCTCAATAAGTTCCCTCAAAAATTCTACCTTCTGAGCCTCTACTTTGATAGATGAACGAAAATTATTAATTTGATTCCAATGGAATTTTGAGACCGTTTTACTTCACCATATATACAGTTATTACATTATATATTTTACTGGTCTCTCGAGAAATGTTACACATTGCGGAGGCGTTTTCTTGACGTACGTCAAATTTAAATCTCGCATGCTGCGGTAGCTTGTTTGTTTGAAGTTAGCTACAGAATGGGCTATCTGTGCTCTGTCCACCACAGGTATCAAAATCCGGTTTCTAGCGTTGTAAGTCCGCAGACATACCGCTATGAAATTTATGAAGTGAATTTTTGCCTCAGGTTTGAAAAATTATTTTATTTCTAATTCTAGTACTCAATTCATATTCAATCTTAAAATAAGCAAAGTTCTAACTTATTTTCATTAGAATAAAAATTAAACCTGTAGAACTTAAAATAACGAAAATATTGCATGTCTCCACGCTAATTGCTAAGGGAATTTAGATAGACTAAAATAGTTAAATCATCGACTTATACTACTGCCTAAACATTATGGCCGAATGATTAATAAAGGAGTCGGATTTGAAACCCATCGAAAATTTTATATGTTTGTTTGTAATTAAACACTAAGGTACACCATGGGCGATCTGTGCTCCGCCCACTACGGTTTGTTTGTTTGTTTGTAGTTAAGCACAAAGCTACACATTGGGCAGTCTGTGTTCTGCCAACCACTGGTGTGGAAGCCGGTTTCTGGAGTTGTAATTCCGCAGACATGCTGCTGTGCCACTGGGGTGAGCCACATTTTCTGCAAAAGTTCAAATTCTGCTAATGGCGCTTAACATATTGTTACGACAACGCAGGTCACGTGACCCTTGTATCACGCCACTTCCTTCTCGAACCTTCATGAAGTGTCGGGAGACTACTAGATTGGGGTAGTCTTGTATATATAAGACCGGCCAAGACACAACGTAAGGTATTGAGTTATTGAACTGCGGACAGAGAAAATATTGTTGGACACGTGAGACGTTTGTTGTGAGTTATAGCGTTTGTTATACCGCGACTATTGAAATTAAGTGTATCGCAAAGTTGTATTCAGAAAGAATAAACCAGTTTTATTTAAGAAAGGATTTGTATCGGTAAAGTTTCTTCGGGAAAAAATTATACGGAAAATTAACTAACGAACGGAGGCATAACAAATTGGTGTCAGAGAGTGGGACGGAAAAGAAAAAAAATGGAAACAAGAAGCGGCAAATCAAACTACAGCTGATGATGACAAAACCTTGTCGAAACGTTGTACATTTGCTGTTATATTAAAGTTTTTCTTCATTACCCATTCAAGCTGTCTCCAGCCATTATTAGTCTCAAAGTGGGTTCCTCGTCATCGAATTTATAGCACCTATGTTTTACAAATTTTCTGGGGGCTATGCCTCCAGACCCTCGTAGCCTTAAAAAGTGCTTGGTACAATATGTGTTGGCTTTTGATCTGAAAAATTAGAATCCCTCTTTCAAACATTCTGCGTTGGAGCCTGAACACCTTACGTCACATAAAGTTAATCTGAACTTTGACTATTGGAATTTCTACAACAGTGAGTGACCTTAGAAATATCATGCACATGACAAACATGTACACACAAACAAGATCTGTGTTACAAGTATAAGGTAAGAGAGTTCAAAACATTTTTCCAAAAAATACTTGATTTTAATTTCTTTTCACATAGTTGTACAAGTTTATAAATTTCTTGTCTTTATGCAATATACATTACTGCACCGATCAGTGTTTTGTCACAAGTAACACTTCCTTCCAATATTCTTAGCATACAAAATATACACAGAAGATAATGGACACGCACCTTTTCTTTTGTCCAGTAAATTTAAAAGGTTATGCTAATAAACAATCGCCTTTGACCCCTTTCATTATCCATACACTTAATTCAAAATATATCATGGGATCCATTTCAGTATAACCTAACCTTTGTTTATACAGAAACAAAATGACCATATATGGAATAGAAGATTATAATATTCAATGCAACACAATAATAATATTGTAAGTAACTTAAATTCAAAGCCAATCATTTACACACAGCTATTCTCCACTGACTACTTGTGCAACAGAGTACTTTAAATTTCAAAAAAAAAAAGCCAAACATGAATAAGTAAGATAGACTTGAATTGAATGAACAAAGAAGAATGGAAGAAAATATTGTGTAAGAAATAGGTAAAGGACAGATGATTATAATTTAATTGTGATGATGTTGTCTTAGTGCAAAGCTACACAAAAGGGTATCTGCACTCTATTCACCATGGAGAGTTGATTTTAGGGGTGTAAGTTGGTAATTCATTTGTGAGCAGCAGAAAGAAAAGAAGAAATGTATACAACAACCAATTTGCAGGTGAGAAAAGTACAAACAGGAATTCATAAAAGAAAATACACAGAGACAGTAAAGACTGATAAAAAAACAGAAAAATGTTTGAACAAACTTGTTTCACCGATCATTTTTTTTTTAATGATCACAAACAAATTTAAACTGAAACTGGGTCTTCCAAGCTTATTGAAAAATAATTTGTAAACATATAAAATAATTAACTAATAATGGAGACACTGATGTAAAACAAAACATGCTAGAACAGAATTTGTTTTTTTATTTTGCAATAACTGAAATTATGTTCTATTTTTATTCATTCACAAACTACATATCTAGATAACTTTAGCGGGAAAAAAACCTGAAAAACTTTTTTAATCATAGACTTCAAATGTTTTTCACTGAAGTCTTTTAGAAAAAAAATTCATATTGTTGTTTTTCTTGTTTCTGAGCATTGATGAAAGTGTGAAGATGATCTGGATTGAGTGTCTTCAGTAGTGTATCAACTTTGAGAGCAGACATTTTGAGAACATTCTAGGTTTTTAAACATTAACTTTTGTAGCCATTTGTTCATTTCTAGTTGAACCAAGTACTTTCCATTTGTCAGAGTAGGTAAGTACTTAAAGAAATTCAGTTTTATGGTTTCACTTGTCCCAAGCTAATGGATAACCGTTACTGTCAAGCGTATACAGAATTGACGACAACAAAAACAATTGTACATATCAGAAATATTTCATTAATTAAGACCATGGTTTCGCCAATAATTTCTTGCACCTTTACTGGGAAAACCATGGTCTTAACAAATGAAATATTTGTGAAACATACAACTCACCTTGTTTTCATCATTTTTGTAATCAAGAAGTTTCAAGTATCAACCATAAATCGAGCCCTACATTCTGTAAAAACATATAGACATTCAGTTTATGGAAACCAACATTTGTGACACTCTGAACTAAGTTTCATTAAATGGAAAAAAATATTATCTGAGTAATAGCTGTAAATAACTAATAAATAAGGGAATTTTATATGAAATCAAATCACTGGACCAATGAGTATTAAGGGTGTGTTTTTCTTATCTATCTGCTGTGTCCACAAAGTGGAATCAAAGACTATTAAGGGAGAAAACATGTAATTAGACATGTCAAAATAATTGAAACTCTTGCAATGACAAAGAATGAGAGTTGAAATAGTTATATTATATTTATACTTTTTCTAATTCAATAAAAGTACAAAAACTAATCTATAGCTAAACAATTAAATCAACAATATCAGTGTTGAATTTTTCAATACTAAAATAATTTCTAAGGAACAACGATTTTTGTACTGATAGGTCAATTTGATTATTTTCCATAAAAAAAGTGAATTTACAACTTTTTATATTTACAGCTCTGTGCAGTTCTAGACAACTTCAAAAAAACTGCAATTAAAAAAGTGAGACTACTGTACAATAACTTAATCTTGAGATATTGATAACTATTTAAACTAAGTTATCTGTTTATGTGTTAATACATGGGAAACAATAGTTGACACACAACAAAACACTTTTTAAACAGAAAATAATAAATTTCTTGTACATGAAAATCAGTGTCAATTTCAACAATTTTTCAGTAATAAATTAATCACTCATTTTTATACTAATCAATTATACAGTAAAGAAAAATGCATGTATAATTTTTTTATATGAAAAACTCAGTGGTAGAACTGATTAATTTTTTGCTATATTCGGTACGTCCACTGAATACACCTTAGCCGCATCATTACTATTTTTTTTCCCTTTCAAAACAAACACAACCAACATTAAAATCACAATTAGGAACATCAATATCTCAGAGTTCATGGAGGTTTTTGGACTGGCCCTCATGATGCATGTCCTAGTCACCTTTATTACAGCCCTTAGTCACATATCATGTAATGTGGTACACATCTCTATTTTGTAC